GGAGGGAATGGGGATTTTGCAATATCCTTCCCCCAGGAGTGGGGAGGGAATAGGGATTTTACAGTATCCTTCCCCCTGCCAAGCCCACTATGCAACACCCACCATGCCACACCCAAAGAACCAGCTGGAAAAAAATTGAATCCCACCACTGACCACCTGTACTAGCTTATTATGGGCATGAACAGGCTGGAACCCAAGTTGGCTGGGCTGACTCTACATGACTTGTGTTTGTTGGTTGACTTCCATTCTTTACAGATGCCCGGTGGACAAGTGGAAGGAATCGTGCCATCTCAGCACCCGCTACTTTGTAACACCCTGCCCCAGTTTGTGGGCCTGGACTTCCCCCTGGACCATCTGCTGGAGCAGATAAGGCCGGACCTGAAAATCAGGCAGCAGGTGGCTGAGCTGGAATCCCGCCAGAAGACCTTGGAGAACATTGTCTCAGTTCTGAGCCGGGAGCTGGCCAGAAAAGAAGTGTCCCCTGACGTCCGAATTGGAGAAGCTCTGGCCAGGATCCTCTGCCTGGAGGAGAAAGTAAGAGACGCCTTTTGGAAAGATTTCATGTCTCCCATGAGAACTTATAGAGTGGAGGTGGGGAATGATTGGCCCTTTTATAACTTGTGGACTTCAACTCCCAGAATTCCTGAGCCAGCCATGGCTATCTCAGGAATTCTGGAAGTTTGTCCACAAGTTGCCTTCTTCTTTTGTGACAATATCCATCATGGGACATTGGCGCTCATGTTAGCGATCCTATTTTTATCAACAGCCGCACGAAAAAGTGCCGTTGAGTTTTGTCCAAACCAGCCCCTTAGATTTTGAAGCCATGATCTTCTTCTTCTGCCTGGACCTCATTTGCCTTTGTTAGAAGAAATGTCCTTCTGGGGTCAGTTCCAAGTGGGGGAGAAAGACACTGGAAACATGCTTGGAAAGGTGGTTTAATGGTGGACAGGACCACGTGGTTTGAAATCCCAGGCAAAAAAAAGAGCACCTGGGAGAGAGAGAGAGAGAGAATTATACCCTCTGTTGGGCTTTGAACCTGCTTTCTGTTCCGGTGGCAAGAAATGTATCCTGATTGGTTGTCAGACTCCTATGGGGCAGAGGTGGTGTTCAGCAGGTTCTGACCAGTTCTGGAGAACCGGTAGCGGAAATTTTGAGTAGTTCGGAGAACCAGTACATCCCACCTTTGACTGGCCACGCCCCCATCTATTCTCTGCCTCCCGAGTCCCAGCTGATCGGGAGGGAATGGAGATTTTACATATTTTCCCCTGCCACACCCACCGAGCCACGGCCACAAAACCGGTAGTAAAAAAAATTGAATCCCACCACTGCTATGGGGCCATGCAGGGGTAACTTTGTAGGTTGTCTCAAGTCCCAGGCTTGGTTGACTCTTGCTGGGTGATAGTCACGAAGAGGCTTTGACCAATTCCTATTATGGCTTAATGGCTTTGTCCTGGTTTGGATCTTGAGTGAGGGCTAACCCTATCACCCTGGAGCAGAAAGTCTTTTGTCTTGTAGATAAGACGTCCAAAGCATGCACACACCCGATTCCCCCCCTCCAAATCCAATGTGCGCACAGCCCCCGTGCATGTACCCCATGGTCCCCTGCATGCATGTGTGGCTCCCTAAATGTGTCTGTGCTCCCCACATGCACCATGCTCCCCCCATGCACCCCACACACACCCTGCACCTGAAGACCACCGGACCGGTGGGTGGCGCCCACGCATGCGCGGTGGAACTGAACTGGGGCGACGGCCATAGCTCCGCCATCACCACTTTATACTTTTTCTGTTCCATAGTTATTATCACTCACTTGTCTCTGTGAAGTAATACAATGTCAGGTGACTGAATTTTTCTTAAATGTTTCCACGTTTTCCTTCCAGGTAGAACATCAAGATTCACTCTTGGCTCTGAAAGATGTGATGATCAGCAGCTTGGTGTCCCGGATCCAGGCCCTGGAACACACCAGCTACGATGGGTGTTTCCTCTGGAGGGTCCCCAGGGTGGGGCTTCGAATGCAGGAAGCTCAAACCGGAAAACGGCCTGCCCTTTATTCCCCCCGTGAGTGACCAAAGAGGGATGTGAATGGAAAGGGGGAAATTGGCTTGCTAGAACAAAAATCCCTGCTTGGTGGCTGTGGAGATTCTCCGTCATCCAGGTTATTGTTGTCTCAAAGGTGCTTTTTTTTCAAAAGTCAAGTGGGTTGTTTTTTCTTGAGGAAGAAAAAGACATTTCACTTCTCATCCAAGAAATTTCATCAGTTCTGATGGAAGGGGGATGGAAGGATAGGTACCGGCCAGAGGTGGCATTCAGCAGATTCTGACCAATTCTGGAGAACCGGTAGCGGGAATTTTCAGTAGTTCAGAGAACTGGCAAATACCTCCTCTGGCTGGCCCCGCCCCCATCTATTCTCTGTCTTCCGAGTCCCAGCTGATCAGGAAGGAATGGGGATTTTACAGTATCCTCCCCTGCCACGCCCACCAAACCATGCCACGCCCACCAAACCACGCCCACAGAAATGGTAGTAAAAGATTTTGAATTCCACCACTGGTACCGGCCATTGAGCCTGACGGCAGGGGATGGAAAGATAATTCTGATAGGAGGATGGGGGGGTGGGGGAGGATTATATTTCTTTGCAATGCTACTCCTTCCATTCCCCTCACCTGCAATCCTATCAGAAGCAGAGGGCAAGACAAGAAACAATGGATGGAAACTAATCAAGGAGAGAAGCAATCTGGAATTAAGGCAAAACGTCTCAACAGTGAGGACAATTAAGCAGTGGAAACAGCTTGCCTTCAAAAATCATGAGGCCTTCATCACTGGAGGTTTTTAAGAAGACAGTCACTTGTCTGAAATGATATAGGGTCTCCCGGTTGAGCAGGGGGTTGGACTAGAAGACCTCCAAGGTCCCTTCCAGCTCTATTTTATTCTTTCCTTCCATCTCCTCGCCATCCAGCCTCCACTGTCAGTACCTATTCTTCCATCCCCCATGCCATCAGAACTGATGAAGCTTTTTGGATGAGAAGCGAAATGTTTTCTTCTTCCTCCTCCTCAAGGAAAAAACAGTCCAGTTACCTTTCGAAGAAAAATGCACCTTTCAGATGCCGGCTTTGTGGTTGACTTCCTGACAACAGTATCGTTTCTGTGAGCTTGCACTATGGGGAGACACAGGAAGATCCAGCCTGGGCATCCTGGTGAGACTATAAAACTTGCAAATGCCTGGCCCCATTCAGAAGCAGGCACTATGGTACGCTGTCAGACACGTTGTTGGTGCCACTGGGGTTGAAGAGCCTAGGAAGGAAGGAAGGAAGGAAGGAAGGAAGGAAGGAAGGAAGGAAGGAAGGAAGGAAGGAAAAGAAGGG